AGAACACTACCAAGATCCAAAGGATCTTGGCCTTCAAGGTGCTGCTGGCCTGCTGCCGCAGCAATAAAAAAAATAAGATGATAATCTGGGGTTGGCTGAGAATCCTGAGATCTTGATCAGCCACCGTGATTGCACAGTCGCACAACCCCCTAGCCAAGGGGGTCTTCACTGCTGCCAAACTGCCACTGCAGCGGTAGAAAAAATAATAATCATCATCATCATCATCATCTGGGTGTGCTGAGATCTTGATCAGCCACCCAGATCCCACTGCACTGCAGCCCCCTAGGCAGGGGGGTCTACCAAATCTTCAGCAAGCTGCCACATGGCACTGCAGATGGCCACGTGTGCAGGCAGCAGCAGCCATGACGCCGGGGGGGGGGGGGGGGGGGGGCAAATAGCAGCCCACCCACTGTTGTCGTGCTGGCCACAGCTCGCCGCTAGCAGACGAGGTAAATAGCTGGCGTGGCACTCTTCAATACTAACGTGCCACGCTACAAGGACATGGTTACAGGGGCCAATGTGTTAAGGCACTGGCTGAGCACATGTGTGGCTGCTGCCCAGGTTCAAATCCTGGCAGTTGCACTCCCAGATACTGATATATCCGAGAGCGGGGTGAGGCGGGGCAGCGGGGCAGTGTGGGCACGTGGCGCGTGCGAGAGCAGCGGCCTTGGCCAGTGTGATGGACCCGCCGGATGGAGGTCCATCAAAATCAGGACGAAGGGATGAGGATGGAGGAGATGGAGATGAAGCTGGAAGGGACAGCGCAGCTCCAACGCAGACTCAACATGCACGTACTCCATGAAACGGAAAATAGACTGCAGTTGAGGTATGCCCCCAGCGGACTGACCGGACTGGACTGGACTAGCCTGGTACCGACAGTGGTATCTTCCAAGACTGGACTGGACTGAATGAGCACACGGCCTGTGGGGTCGGGCCGAACAGGCAAAATAGCCAGATAGCCCTGGCTCTAGGCTAGGGCAGCTAGAGGCATGTTGCACCAGTCCTTTCTATGCTTGCACTGAGAAATGCCCAGTTGACCTGCTTGTAGGCCTTTTTCAAAATCGAAAAAAAAATTGTTGTGTTTATCCTTTTTTCTCTAACTTTGTTGGCCGCTTCATTGAGGGTCAGTACGTTGTCCACGATGTATCTCCCAGGGATGACGCCTGTTTGGTCTATATGAAACTAGGCTACCTGCCGGGCCGCCCTGGTCCCGGGTGGGCAGCCCGTGCAAGGACCAGGAAAGGTCCAAGCAAAAAAAAAAAAAAAAAAAAAAAAAAAAAAAAAAAAAAAAAAAAAAAAAAAAAAAAAAAAAAAAAAAAAAAAAAAATCCAAAAAAATCGAAAAAAAAATATGTTATGCAGAAAAGTAAACTGAACAACTTTTGCCTCAGGGTCGCATCGAAATTCTTCACCAAATTTAGAATAAAAAATAAAATTAAAAAATCATATGAAAGCATTTATTTATTTTTATTTTTTTGGCCCGGCCGGGCAAGTGACCCCGGGCCACTCTGGTAGCCTACATATGAAAGCATTTGTCTGTCAGGTCTAGGATTTGAAAGACAAGAGCTTTGGCTAGGATCTTATAGGGAAGGGTTAGAAGCGAGATGGGTTTAGTTCCTGATATCTTCTTTCTACCCTTTTTTGTACAAACAAAGTGACCACGCTGCTACTCAATAAGTTTCCCAGTCCCCCCTTGAGCCAGCTGTCGTTGTAGAAGTTTACTTCTTCCTTTTTTCGTTTTTTTGGACCACTTCTTGATTATATGTGTCATCCTTGCCCAGGGGCCATGCTAATCTTCTGTGTATCGTTACAATTTAAGGGATGTCCCCAAGGACTTTTACTTCTGTTTTACTTTCCTTTTAACTTTGATTTCCAAACTGACACAATACTCTTAACTTTTTTAGCATCCATAGAATCACTCGAAATATTGAATATGAAATAAGCAAAAGGCAGAGAGCTTCATGCACTACACAAACATTATAACAGAAAGAAGCCATGTAAATAGATTGAGTGGATTCAGATCAATACTGACGAGCATTGAAGGCACACTGTAGCTACAAGCTCAAAACTCTGAAGTCCAAACATTAGTGCATTCCAGAACATATAGAACTGAAGCTTTGCCTATGCAATGGGATTACCTGCACGAATCAAAGCACCTTTTGCCACTCCACTCTTGAGGCCTCCAACAACTGCTGCAGTATGTGTTCCATGGCCATTGCAGGGACGTCCTTTAGGAACGTCTTCAAGGAGGTTCACTGCATTTTGTGCCCTCGAAGAGGAAGCATTTTGGCCGAAGTTCAACCCTGTCTTATCCCCATTAAGGTATCTGAAGTCCAAGTGTGTCGTCCTTATGTCCTGCATTGAAAACAATGAGAATATGCATTAGTGATAACAAGGAAGTGAAGGTGGAGGCTAGGGCATGTTGACCCAAGTCATCTCAAGTCTGCATGGCTATGGCGCCCGACCACAATGCCATGCGTTCAGCACTGCAGACCTCCAGCCCATCAGCACCACATCAGAAACCACAACTAGCACCAACCCTAGAATGGAGAAGGAACCCCCAGCCTAAAGAGGATGAGCAGCTTCCATCAAAGAGGAAGAGATGGCAGTGGCTAAACCCAACAGCACAGATATGGCTGTTGCCACCCAATAGATGAAGGCCTGCTTCTTCTGCCACCCGAAAGAGCACAGCAGCGGCTTCCCAGCTGAAGCGCTGCTCCAGAAGCCCTGTGGCTTCAACAAGTAGAACTAACAAAAAAGAACTCTACCTCATCGGTGCTACTCTATGTATAGCTCTAGAACTAACCTGCCGGACTGGACTTACCTAGGACCTAACATCCTAACAGTTATGGGTCTGTGCTTTTACCAGTAACAATGTACCAGTTTGACGCACAATCGTGCAGCAGTCAGTTTAGGCCTAACATGACTTTAGGTTAGGGAATTTACCGATAATTTCCTCTCAGTTTAGGCTCCATTTTTCTTATCGCTTAGGACCAAAAGATTGACAAAAATTATAGAAGTGTCCTTGTTAGTGTTACAGCCTTTCGCGAAACTACAAAAGCATTGCATTCCTACCCTCCCGGGGAGCGAGAACCTCGTAGCTGATAGTGACCACGAGGTGAGCGGTGGGGCAGCCAGCCTTCCAGCTTCGCCTCATAATCCATTACAATCGACTTGGCTATCGTGAGAAGTTCCTTCCATGCAAATCACCTGTTCTGCGTGTGTGGTTCGAAGAGGAACTTGATAAGATACTCACGGTTGGGGCCAGTACCCCTTTGGGCATTTGGCAAACTAGGCAGGTTTTGCTTTTGTGGACCATTGGGGCATTTCTCTTGACCCCTAGATAGGAACCCCTTTGTCCCTAGTACTACCAGGAGCCTTAAGTGAAGCTCGTCAGTCCCTAGGCCAATGCCTAGAAAGCTTGGTCTGAGGAGCCTGCTGCACCTTGACCACCTTAGGCAGTTGTGCCTTCCTGATTAGAGTCTACAGAGTCCTCAGTATCCATAACCAACAGCCTCACCCTTCCCTTCCTCCAAACCTAGGAAGTGGGGGTGGTTTCCTTCTCTTGACAGGTGGCAGGCACAAAAGAAAAGATCGATCTTTTCCTCACCAAGAAGGATGTAGCACAAAGCCTTACCCAATTCTGCAAGGAATGGCTGGGGGGGGGCTGAGGGGGGTTGGATCGCAGCAGTGGCATGGACGAGGGACATGCCGAAGAAGCAATGGCTGGAAGACCAGAGCTCCGGGCAACAGGAAACTATTGACAGAGACTACTAACTTGTCTTCAAGGAGTGGACCAAGGTGAACCCAAGCATCCCCCTCAGAGCAGAGTCGGACTTTCCGAACCCCTTCCCGCTTCACGCTCTATCACTGGTGGAGGTGCAATTGAGGATAGAAGCTACAGATGGACTGCACAGGCTGCGACGAGGGAAGTGGATCCCGCCTCCTGGCGGTTGCATCTCTCAATATTTTCCACTCAGTCTTCTTCTATCTACCTCATTCACCTCAGTTAGCACCCCGTGGCCAGGTGCTCCCCGGAGCCTCTATGTTACATGCTGAAAGCCTACACACGGGCCCCTCACGGGACCCGAGGTTGGAATAGGGCCCCCAGGTCGCGTCACCGCAACCTGAAGGCCCTATGGCATTTTTACTTGGGCCTGCATCAGAAAAACGCCAGCTTTAGATTATTTTTATATTCTTCTATTT